GAAAGAGACGGCCCAATAAAATTATTGTGCAATTATTATCGTATAATACAAGTACAGCGTTGTTATTAAAAGACTTTGGAATTTTATAGTATTTATGATAATGATGAAAATAAAATCTAAATAAAATATATATTTCATCTACTATATACTAATGTAATAAATATTTCGCATACTTTTTTCCTCATCGTCCAGTTATTCGTAACTGTAAATCATTTGTGATCAAACGATTCCAATCAAATCACCATCGATGAATATTAATGAAAGAAAGTATTATTTGAAAAGAAGAAAGTGACCATTGTCGAGGAATTGCCGAAAAACGAAAAATTGTTTTCGAAACATGAAAAGTTCTCAAGCTTTCTTGATTAATGGACCCACGGAGGCGAAAACGGAGACGAGAAGACGAAGAAAGCTAGTTCAGCGAAGTAGAAGAAGGGTGGTCGACGTTGAAAACACAATCGGCCTATTTATCTTTCAGACGGTACCCGAAAAAAAAAAAACGAATTACCGTCTCGTCTCGGCCAGATCGAAACGTAGAATCTGAGGGAAACGGTAGGTGACACGACGATTTTCCTCCCCCCGGGGTCCTTTCTCCTTTTTTTCGCGTACTAACAATCTCTTCTATCTTTAACCTACCGCCGCGTGTTCCACGTTTTCCAGTGCCGCCGAAATAAACGTAACACGGCCGCATAAATTCCAAAGACACCGCGGGCCGGATCGAACAACACACGAGGAGGGAACGGAACGATACAATCTGTCCAAAACGACGTAGCCGAAAAGGTCTCGGGGACAGTTTTAGCTGGCCTATGAAGGGCGTCATGCGTCATTGACGGCGTGCACTAATTGGAGGAGGCCGGTGCACACCCGACGCGAATACTTCTCCCGCGAACCGACCCTGTAAATTTCCTTTTAATTGCGCATCAAGACGATTCCACGCCTTCGAACACTACGGTCTAGCGGCGGAACGTGATAATGCGAATTGCATGAACGATGCACAGCACTGAATTGAATTCGAAGACGATGCGTTTTGCGTGCGTGATTATTTGTAAAAGTTTTGATATATTCTACGAGAATGGTATTGTATTCGTTTAATATACATATTTCATTATATGTATTCAATATGTATATTAAATATACATATTATATTATATTGTATGTATTTAACATAATATAAATTATTATAATATTATATTATTGTTATCATATGATATTATAATATTTAATATGTTAAATATGTATTTCTATGTCATTTAATTTTATTCTACTGATGATAGCTTTGTTATACAAATGATTGATGTACAAAGACTTTGTAACCTCCTTGTAGTGTAGTAAGAAAGATAGAATCAAAGGCCCTTAAATTTTAGTGATGTAAATTAGGATTAATCAGACATCTGTATTAAAAGTTCAAAGATATTCGCGTAACACTTGACGTCTTGAATATAATCTATTAGTATAATCTACTAAGTGTTTTTCACAAATAGATTTTCCGAAAATTAGAACAACGCGAATTAAGGCATCGCGAAACTCGATTGAACTCGAGTATACCAGTTGAAACGTAACGCGAGTGCGAAGACTACAGGCGGAAAGATCGCCAGATTGAAAACTTACCTGCAACACTCTTTTTGGCAAGCCAGTTTTCTGGGAAAGTTGCTTAAGATCCTTCGCGTCTGGATTGTGATTGATTGCGAAATAACTCTTCATAGTCCTTAACTGGTGATGCTTGAAACTCGTTCTCATTCGTTTTGTTCTGCTGTTGGATCCAGGTATGCCGGGAGTCGCCGGTCCTCCTCTGCCGAACGGCATATCTATGTAGTCCGCGTTCAAATCTGCAACATAAATCCCCAACATCCGGATTATGCGTCTTAATTAAACACCGGTGTCGCGGGGTATTTTTGAAGTCGCCCGTATCGGCTGTATCAGTTAGGGGGATCTTTTTCCGGCGGCGGTGAACCGAGCCTCTCTTCGCGCGCGCCCAAGGGTTGGACCCGCCGCTGGATTTATGTCTCGCCTTCCACTGTCGCTTCGTCTCGCCGATACCCCGTGAGACGTCAATAATGCCGCGAATTTTGTTACCACCGTTTACCGAGTAATTATTCCCTTCGTTCAAGCGCAAGCGAAGGATTTCGATTCATTTCTTTCAGTAAACGTCTCTTTAGTTCGGTTGCTTAGAAATTTGCCAATCGTAAGATTCGTAAAATATTCTGTCAACGGTGCTAGTTTCAATTTTAATTTTAATTTTAGTAATATAAAGATTTAAAATATAAAATAATTTTAGTAACATAAAAGTAATAACCAAATAATAATAATTAACATTAATAAAAATAACATTCTTCAGTACTAATTAATACTCTAGTAATAATGTTCTAAAATTCTAAGGATTTTTATTACCTATTTGGTAATAAAAAGTTTCGATTTATTCAAGCATTTCTCTCAACAGAATTATTTAAAAATTCTGTCGAATATTTTGCAGACTATTTAGTTATCGGAATATTTCTTAATACATTTCCCTGCTTTCTTACTTTTGTTTAAACTATTACATACTATTACATACTTAGTGTTGCAACATTGCATTAGTAGAAACAAACAACTCTGTAAAGATCGAATTCACGAAAAGATTTCAACCACTTTTTAACATCGTTTACTGACAATACAAGAGAAATCTCGTGAAAAATCAAACGTTAAAGATCGGAGAGAAGTAACGTCGTCGATAGAGAGTGATCGCGGTTCTCGATCAGGGATAAAGTTATCGCGGCAACAATTGGCGGCGGAGGCTCTCGAAGGCAATACGAAGAACCGTCGGAAGCGACAGCGTGGCTGATCGCGACTCTAGCGCTGTTTGATGTGTATCACAGCTCATTAGCTCCTCGAGTGCAAACAAGAAGGGTGATAGCGTATGCGAAAGACCAGTGGATACACGGCCAATTACAACTCTATGCAGCAAATAGTTTGCAGGCACGATACCTCATTCCGGTATATCTATCCTGTCGCCGGGCGACTTCGCCGTCCACCGTAGGATAAAGCGACGCTCCGACAGTCGCCAGGCCAGATAGCCCGATCGATAAGATCCAGATCGATACTCTATCGCGTGGAAATCTGCGAAACCGTTTCACTCCGCGTCCACGACCGACCGACCGTTCTTGCGTTTCTCCTCCCACCCCTCTTTTCCCGTTCATTTGCTACTGTTCCCCATCTGATTCTGAACTGGATTCAACGATCTTCCGCCGCTTCTACGATCACTTGACGAACGCTCTCGGCTCTCACGGAGATCTTGCGAGAATTTCTAATTACCGCGTGCGAAGGACTCTACCGGAATTAGATTCCTACCGTGAGAGAGTATCGATATTCCAAGAGATCAGCTTTTATTTCTATCTGTTAGAAATTGCCAAGGGGATAAAGATCTGTGAAACTCGCCATCTTTTCGATTCGAAGTTTCTGGAGTAAGTGTCGAGCACAGTTCTGCTACTAAAAACTTTGTGACCACTTCGTGGCCAGGTCCTCTTTTTATTGTAATATTTTCGTAAACGTGGGATGTTCCCATGTTTATTTGCCCAAGGGATTTCCCAAGTTTATTGTTGCCCGGGGGAAACTCGGTTCGCTCATAAATAATCAGAAAACAGAATAGCGACGGGCTACCTGCCTGCCGACAATCTCGAAACCGCTTCCTTTCTAACATATTAATAAAACGACCGTTTCGAACAAGATCCAATTTAGTTTCCTATTAGAAACTTAGTAGACTGAGGTATAAATCAAAGAGCTATAAATCTCATCAACTTCGCAACGACGAAATTGAAAAACCATTTTTCCTCCATTTTAAATATCGTCGAGCACGTTCTAAAGGCAAACAGGCCTCGAGATAAAAGGAAAAGCTGAAAGGAACGCACGGTGAAAGAGGCCCGACCGACCTTGCCTCAGCGACGAAAACCCGAATCGACGAAGGTCCTCCCTCCTCCCTATCGAATTATTTTATTTCGAATAAATTCTCGCACCCGGCTAACCAGCCGGCGAACAGAACAGATAATTCTCAGTCATCCGTGGGTCCCATCGTTCGTGTCGGGGCATCATCGTTCGCGGACACGAACCAAGCGACTTTCGTGGATCTCTCGCTGAAAACGACGGGCCGAAGGGAAAGGGGAAGGAAGAAAATTAGCGATAAAGGAGAAAGAAAAAAAGAAAAGAAAAGAAGAGGAACTGGTCCCTCTGGGTAGAGAACGGCGCACGGCCGGTGGTTCGTCCGAGGCGACTCGTCTCTCGGGGTTCCCTCCTCTGTTCCCACGGTCGGTCAACAATCGAAATTAAGTTCTCGAAGGCGGAGAAGGAAGCTGCCGCGGCGAGCTGCCCACGCGCGACACGTACACGCTTTGTTGGGATTGGATTCGTGAATTTATGTCGCGGCGACAAATTTTATCAGGGTTCGGTGGCAAACACCACGCGCCCACGCGCGCCCGTAAATCACCGACGCTGAGTCGCACACCTTCCTCTCGTGGATTCGTCGTGTTACGTGCGCGTAGCCGCGCGATCTCCGACCGCGTGGCCGGGACACTTTCGAGAAATCTCGGCCGGACCGGCACCGCTCGTGTAAGAATTTTCGTGTGCACGCGATCGCGATCGTCCCGAGCGACACCGACAATTGAAAATCCACGGACCTGATCTAGCTCCGTGTTCCGCGCAACACACGTGTCTTCGGAATGTGAAACTTGCGCAGTAAATGTTGGATGGGACGAGGTCTCTTTGTAGCTACTTGAAGAAATCCAATATGGATGATTCGTTTCTTGAGGAAAACATTTTGTTCAGTTAACTAGATTAGATTGCTAATCCTTGTTTCTCACGAATTGATTCGTTTTATGAATCTCGTTCGAAGAAAATCAAGCGATTTCAATTTTTCGTTTGATGTAGTATTGCGAGTATTGTTGCGTTGGCGAGGTATTTCACGCACAATGAATGAATGGGTTAAGAAGGTTGATGAAGATCTTTTGAGTAGCCATTGCTCGTTCGAAGCAAAGGAACTGAACTTATTCGTTGATTTCCGAGATAAATATAATTCATCGAGTCTAATTTGTACGAAAAAAAAACGTGTTTCGTTGGTGAACGTATAACGGTAGAAGAAATTTTCTAGCTTCTATATCAGCGGATCAACGTTGAAATTAATAAACATTAATTTAACGGAATGAAGGTAATGACTCATTGATGAAATTATAACGTTACAGCGTGGCTTAATTGATTTGCGATAGACACGCTGTTTTCGTGCTATTAATTTCCAAAGATTCAAGAACTGCGCCTCTCTATTTTCCAGAACGCCGACGCGCAATACTTGCAATATTCTCCTCTGTTAAGCAAACATTCGACCACTTCACGGTCCAAAAAAAAAATCGTACACACACAGCAATTTGGCTGAGTTACGCGTTATGAAAGTGCTTTCTAATTGCGAACCATGATTATTGCGCTATACATTCCGGCACAATGCTCGGTACAACATGTTTCTACTCCAATTTGCATCTGTTCTATCGGGTACGTTTCACCTTCATCCGCGATCGAATCGCTAAAACATAGCCAACACGCATTGGCGGCTGTTTACTGCCAGAATGTTAATTCGCGCGTGACGAATTTCTCTAGAATAAACTTCTGAATTCCTCAACGCGCGAAGGACAATGCGCGGATCTGGCACGCGTTGCAACCGAGAAAGCGATGAATCACTCTGTCAGCTGCTAGAATGCTCGCAAAAATCGCCCGACAATCCGTATGATACAAATCGAAGTGATATGCTTCGAAGTTTCTCTGAAATTTTCTACAATATTTAGTTTGTAGAAGAAAGACACGAATTCCTCGTTCCAAATAACAGAAGAGATTTCAACCCACGATATTTCCCCTTTACGATACGTGCGTTCCAACAACTCGAAAGAGGGGCAATTATGATTACGAACGTGAAATAGAGCAAGATTCAAACAGATTCAACGAAAAAGATTATAATACATATAGAAAACGCATCGATATCCTGCAAATAATTGTTGTCTATTAATTTCCAACAGAAAAAATTTCGGAACGAAATTGAACGGTACGTTCACCGCACCGACAGAAACAAAATGTCACCGAAACAAAATTCATCGCCAGCGAACATAAGCTCGAGTCCAACACCCTCTGTTTCAAATTCCTTTAGTTTCTCAGATGAAAGCAGGTAAACGACACTCACCTATGTTAGCGGTCATAGCTTCGAGATCCTTCGGTTTCCTCTTCCTAGGCCTGCCCTTTTGTCTAGGTGGTGGCACGACAGCGGCGCCATTAAAGTACGGTACCTTGGGTGGTGATCCGGCGTCAGGTACCGATGGCGTGGAAGGCTGAAGCGGCACTGGGCTCACGTGGCTATGGGGATGTTGCGGGTGCATCGAGTGATGCGGGTGAGGCGGATGCGACGCATGATGATGATGATGATGATGATGGTGATGATGATGAAGGAATTCCGGGGAGGGGAATGGCTGGCCAGGGTAGTGAGGACCAGGCGGATAAACCGGGACCGGAGGACTCTGCGACGGATGCAACTCCGCGCCTATTTCGTAATGCAACCGGCAGAGAACCGCGCCGTCCCTCATGCCGAAATGATCGCCCTTTGTCAGCGGAACCGCGCACGCGGCACACGAGAAACAACGGACGTGGAACACGAGGTCTCTGGCTCGCATCACCAGTTCCGAGGCGAGGATCGCTGCGTGGCATCGAGCACATCGTTTCATGCTTCCGAACATTCTGAAAACAAAAAAGTGGAATTGAGATTCACTTCTGTATATATATATCAGAAAAACAATAAATAGTTTTTTAAATAATACATTATTATAATGATTTATAATTTTATAATAATATAAAATTATACTAATATGATATATAATGATAATAGTTTTTTTATTGTATAATAACGTTTTACAAATATACGACGCATCTCACGTGCTAAATGACTAGCATTAAATTTCTCGAATCAAACGTTTGAAGATCTATAAGAAAACAGGAACATACATCCTCTAGTCGAGAAATCTCTGAGACGCTTTTAGGAAATACCCTGTCTCATGATTTTCATTTCAATCTCCTTAGATTGCGATTTGTTACATCGTGTCGGATGTAAAGTATACTTGAAACGTATATAACGACAATTTGCCTTTTCCTTCGAATGGAAATCACGACTCGCAACTACGTTTGATGTTATAAGACACAGGGATGAACAAGGGGCGAGAGATCGAGCCACCGACAGCCGGGGATACACGCAAACCACGATCGAATCGCGGCGGCCATAACAAAAATAACCGAGAGATTATCGTAACTGCGGGATGCAGGCGGCGTCCATTTTTCCGTTCACTTTAAACGATACAAACGCACACGTCCGCAACGCGGAGAATGTTTCCCATCGTCCGAGATATCCAGCGTATCCCTCGGACAGGGTTCCGTTAAATCGACAGAGGAGAAAAAAGAAGAGGGGAGGGGAGGGGAGGAAGGAAAGGAAGGAAAGAAGGCAAGCGGCGAGGAGATAAACAGCCACCGTGGCCACGGACACACTCGGCGGATCGAAGTGGAACAGAGACGGCACAGAGGGGACACGTAGAAACTCGGTGATATCGCGAAGGTAGGGAAGGAACACGCGGTACGGTGAACCACGCGGTGGAGCAAAAGGGCGGAAAGGGAAGGAATATACCGATGCAACGGGCACCGTGACATCGCTACTGCATTAGCGGCACCCTGCAGTCTCCATTACCGAAGCCGGTCGACTATCTACCCGACATCCACCGCGGCTACCTACCTAACCACCTATCTCGCTCTCCACCTCCACCCAAATATATTACGTCTCCTCGCAGTCGTACCAAAGAACCTAGATAGAGATGTGCCCGATCTTATAACCCTGATGCCGCGTCGGATCCAGTCTCCGGGTTAAGTCGCTCTCTGCACCGTCTGTATAAATATATATATATATA